TCTCTCCATCTGATACAGGCTCTTCTCCGATGTTTGTTAGTCTTCAGTTAAGCAGATTCTTTAACAGCTTCTGTCACTTTGCTCTTGTTCTTCAAGGTTGTAGCTATAGTGGAATGGGCCGTGCCTGACTGGCGAGCAATAACCATCACTGATTTTCCACCTTTGGAATTCTTAATCACTTTTAATTTGTTTCTGGGTCAATCATTCGACATGGCCTCTTACTGGCAACATTAGCAGTGAATTTTATACACTTAGGGGCCATGACGAAGAAAATCACATGAGTTTAAATGAAGCACAATAGAAAACGATGCAGTCAAGAGATATGGTAAACACGAAATGTATGAGGCTCTGCTGGTGTAAAACACGGCATACTGTTTTACAGCAAACTTTTTTTTTTTACAAGTAGAAAAGTACACTTTGAAGTAATGATAAAAAATATAATATAGGTAATACGTAAACCAGTGACAGCTGTTTATTAGCATGATAATAAACAGCTGTCACTGGTTTACGTATTACCTATATTACATGCTATACTCTTATGTGACTGGCAGCACAGTAGGTCTGTTTACATCAGTGTCACCACAAATCTTTGAGTAATGTGTGTACTATGAAGTTACGAGGGCTATGAAATCCCTAGGTGATAGCAATTTTTCAGCTCCATTATAATCTTACGGGACCACCGTTTCATACGTGGACCATTGTTGACCAAAAAGTCATTATGTGGCACATGACTGTAATAAAATAATAACAGAAATTAATAAAATAATGATGAAGAGGATAAAGAAGCCCAAAAGCCGATTCTTTGAAAAACATCAATGAAATAGCTAAACTTTTGGGAACGTTAACCCAGAAAGAGAGAGAAAAAAACCATAAATAATATTAGGAATAAAAAAGGAGCCACAACTATAGAAGCATTGATAATTTAAAACATCTGAAGAGAATACTGACAAATTTATAACTACATTTTTTGAAAAACGTAAATAAAATGGAAAAAAATTTAGAAAATCTGAGCTAATATTGACTCCAGAAGAAAATAGAAAACCTGACTATTCCACTTACAGTGAAAGAAATCCAGTCATGAGTTAGACGTCTCTCCCCAGCTGCCTGGGTCTCCATGCTGCCAGCCACCTCCAAAGATATTCCAGGCTCAGATGGCTTTAAAAGGCCAATTTTTACTAAACATTGTCAGAAAAAAAATCTCTGTTCAATGGTTTAAAGATGTTATTGCCCTGTCTTTTGACTTCTGTTTTCTTGAGAAGTCAGCAGTAATTTCTTTGTAATGTGCCCTTTTCCTATAGCCGTTTTCAATATTTTCTTGGTTTTGAGCAGTTCATCTTTGGTTACAGCAGTTTGACTATGATGTGCCTATGTGTGATTTTCTTCCTATTTATTCTGTTCGGGGTTGTTGTTCTCGTGCTTGTGTTTTGTTCCACTCCTTGTCTATTTCTAGATTTTAATTTCTGGTGCTCTATCCTTTATTTCAGACATAGGTTGGAAGTGCCAGGAGTGGGGGTAGATGGGTAGGAGGCATGCATGGCCGCCTCTGCCTCTTTCCTTATTCCTCAGTATATATCAGTTCCCCTCCCCATGCCTATGTGGGCTTTGTCTACCTCATAAGCAGATGCCCAGTTCAAGTTAACGTGCGCACTCCTGGAAAACGGCACAGCTCAGAGGAGGTAGATGCCCCTCAGCACTTATCTCTTGCATTACAACTTTAGTAAATTCCTCAGCTGAGCCCAAAATATTCTAGTTACCAGAAGAATGCACTTCAGATCCATGGCATCGTCTGTTCTGAAGCATTCGAAAACTTTCACATGGGCCCTGGTCAAAGAAGTGCAGCTGCTAAAACCGGGTGGTTCCGGTGAGGAAATACAACCTAGAGATTCCGCAGCTCTGCTGATCTACTGAGAGCCCAAACAACACCCTGAGTACGGCCTTTGGCACCTCTGCAGCCTGGGTCCTCACCCCACATTGCCACTTTTTGGCCATCAACTCGGCCAGTGACAGGGCTTAGGACTCCAAAGAATTACTACCTTAGTTTCAGATCCATAAATCACCCCAAAACAGCCCTGGCGACTCTGCGTCGGTAGCTGTTTCTCCGTAGATGGCAGCACACCCAGCCCTAGACGTTTACAGGTGCCTTAGGCTCATTTAGAACCTTTGCATTTGGAACCTTTAAAGTGTCCACTAGCCACTATGGAATAGCAGAGTCCCCAAACTTGATGAGTGTCATCAGAGGCTGATGCCATTGCTTGGGATGTTGCCAGGGAATGTGATATGATGGCTGGTCAGCAGAACGCAGTGTCCCTTATTCACCCACCTGATTTTCACTGTCTCAGTTATGTTCACTTACATCATAAAGTTTACTTTAATGGAAGGAAATCCTGCCATTTGTGACAACATGAATGAGCCTGGAAGGCCTTATGCTAAGTGAAATAAGCCAGACACAGAAAAACGAGTACTGTATGATCTCACTTATATGTGGAATCTAAAAATGTCTAACTCAGAAAAGCAGACAGTAGAAGGTGGCTGCCAGGGACCGAGGGGTGCGTAGAAGTGGGGAGCTATTTGGTCAGAATACAAACTTTCACTTACATAGGATAAGTTCTGAAACCTTACGTGCAGCGTGGTAGTCTATATTGTGTACTTGAAATTTGCTGAGAATAGCTCTTAAGTGTTCTCACCACACACAGACATACACACACACAACAGTATCTATGTGAGTTGATGGGTATGTTAGTTGGCTTGATTGTGGAGATCATTTCACAGTGTATACGTATATCAGAATATCACATTGTACTCCTTAAATATACACAATTTGTATTTGTCTATTATACCTTAATAAAGCTGGAAAAAAACAAAGTTTAGTTTTATGACAATTGCTTGTTATTTTAAGAAAACTTCATTTTAGTAGTTGGGTTTGTTGGCCAAGCTGTTCTGCCAAGAAGCAGGAAAGGCCTTTAGTGGGTCTGCCTTCAGGCCATGCAGAGCAGGGCCAGGCTGGGGGATGGGATAGAGGTAAGCTTCTCCTGCCTTCTTTGGGCACTTCCTGCAGGGGCTCCCAGCCTCAGCACCACTGCAGTCTGGGTAACTCCTTCCTCTGGGAACTTTTCCCTTCAAGGGTGGGTGGGGGTGGGGCAGACTGGGAAAAAGTCTCAGCTGCTGCTCAGAGCAGCCCAGGAAATTAATGGGCAACTCCAGCTGGTGTCCTGAAAGACAGACTGAAATTCTACACCTTTTTTCCTTATTATAGAATTGACTTTGACATACACTCTTGGAATTACTCTAGGTTTTAAGAAAATGTCCATTTAGGATGTCAAGGACCACTTGGACAGGGCAGTGAGTTATGCGATGCATGTTTGAAGCAGGGACAACTCCAGGAGCTGCTATAGTGGCAAAGGTAGCTTCTGAGAAGCCCACTTAGGGACACCATCTTCTACCCTAAGTGAGCTTCTTGGTGAGGGTGTCTTCCCTGGGCAAACTCGAGGAGCTCCAGGCCCACCCTGACAGGAAGGGGATCAGAGAGATGTCTGCCCTCATCCTGGGCCTTTAAACCATCAGGGCTTATGCTGATGGTCAACAAAAAACAAACCTTGAGCGCGTTTGACAATTCTGTCTCAGATCCTCTTACTTCACGTCAATGTTTTGTTTCAGGCTCCGCTCCTTCAAAACTCTAGCTTCCAACCCTCTTTTTGCTTTTCCAGTCTTGACTCACAGGACTCTCTTGGATATGTCTCATATTCATTATCTTTTTCTTCCCTTTTGTTGTTCGATGACACCTCGCCAGATTGCCCTAAATGGGCCCCTCCCCACATTAGTTTTATCGCCAACGTTCTGTCCAGGACTGTCAGGACTGGACCACGGCGGGCGGCATGGCAGAGTGGGTGAGCATATTCTGGGAAGGAGGGAATGTGATTAGAAGTAGGGGAATGATGATGATGAGGCAAAAGAAAGGCTACCGCCACTCCCCAGCCTCTCCTGAGGAGGGGAGACTGAGCAGGTTCCACTCAGCAGGCTGGAGGGCAGAAGACTACTAGGAGGACCAGTGGTCGATTAAGGACGATGATGACAGGGTATTCTGCAAGGACGCTGATGATATGGGCTAGTTTGTTTAGGACATCATGGAATATCCAGTAGGCATGTTGGAGAACCATAAAGATCAGCACTGGGAAGAAGCGCAGGGTAGCATGGAAAAGAGAGTAAAGATGAGAACTGATAATCGGAGTCTGCATTTAGGATGGCCAGCAGAAGAAAACAGGATGAGAGACTTGGCAGCACTGGCTGGTAGAAGTGGAGATGTCAAGTGACACCTGAGGCCTGAAGACTCTGACGGCCCCTGCTGAAAAGTTACCTTTAGCAGTGGGCTATATAGTCTTGGCAGCCTTAATCTCTGAGATCAGGGCTGGAGACATATTAAGTACAAGGTGAGACCAATATCCTGTAAGGTTTTTGCTCTAGTGAATGAGACAGGGGGTTGGACAGCCCTCAGGATACCTGCAATGGGTTGATCTGCACTATATACAGCCCGATGAGGTATGCTCCCTCATTGCACCGCAGAAAAGAGGAAAAAAAAATTTCAAGAGAGCCAAAGTTGAGAGGAATTTTTCCGCCTACACATTTATATAGCAAAAAATGACCTCACCCCAAAAATAAAGTATTTCAGCTTTAGGTCATTTCACCCTAGGCAGGATAAAGAGGCTGGCGATTTCTCTGTATAGTTACTTGCTTAAGCAAATGTGTTGGAGGTCTCTGAGGGAACTGGCCTCCATCTGTCATTTCTTATATTTTAAAAGAGAAATCAATAATGGGTGGACTGAGCCCTCATTCATCCCTGGAGACAAAGTCCTAGTATCCTTATTCCAGCATTTTCCTCTTAGGCTTTCGTGTCTAGTAGAGTTCAAGACCTTTTGGCTTTGGATTGACTTTCTAACCTTGGCTACCATTTTTTCTTTCAGTAATAAAAATCCTTGAAGCAATAGCTTATACAAAACCACAATGCATGAAACAGGAAAAACTCAGAATTTTATTAGCATGTATTTATTTTATGACTTCACATTTATAACATTTTACTTTATATACTGTCAAGAAATAAGAACAAGAAGACCATTTTCATGAATTCAAAAGCACATGAAATCAAGATGTATTAGATGATTAATTGTATCATTTTGGTTGAACAGTACTGAAAAATATAACAGATAAATGATCACAAATAGTATCTTTAAAAAAATGCTTTTCTTACAATCTCAGGATATTCTTCAGTTAAAATTATCCACCACCAGAAAGAATAATTTATTGTTTCAAAGTCGAATCACTAAGAATAGTCAGCACTTGCTGGAATACTTATCACAAAATAACAGACAACAAACACTCAAACTTACCATAAGAACTAAAACGGTTTCTAATGCAATGTTGTCACAACTTGACTGACAGATTATATATTTACTTGTTACTGCACAACTGTTAGAACAGTAAAGAGAGCATGCATTGAGCAGACCAGCCCGTAAGCATCATGAAAATAATGAGTCTTACAATGTATTGAGGGCTATCTTCCAGACATCATGCTAAGTGCTTAAAAGGCATTATGTCACTTCATCCTAACATAACAGCCCTATTCTGTTATCTTCCCATTTTTCTGATGAGGGAACTGATGCTTGGAGAAGTTAAGCAACTTGTTTGTGGTATACACAAAGCTACCAGGATGAGATACATCAACCAGCATTTCACCGAATGGTGCTCATTTATGCTTTGCTTGTACACTTTACCTCACAGGACACACATGGGCCTGATTTAACACCCATGAGGTGTTACAGCTCCCTTAATCGATGAACCTTAAGAGAAGTTTGGATATGTGCTCATATTTTGCAAGGGAACGTTTTAGCCAAGGTCTGCACAAAATGAGTCAATTTGGAAACAAAAGTGAGCTTGCTGGTGAATGTTTGTCTAGGTTTTAATATTTGGATATCACTATACTTGCGTCGATTTGTTATTTATTAGAGATTTAAGAGTTTAAAATACATTTAAAAGATAGAACTGCTGAAAAATCTCTGCACAATTTGAAAACCATGATCATGATGGAGGGCGGATTAGCAAGAGCCAGAGAGTTCTGGACCCCGATCTTTGCTCCGTCGCTTGTTAGTAATTTGATATGGAGACCACTTAACCCATCAGAACTTCAGCTTCTTTCTTTCAGAAAGGGCAAAATTATGCCACTTCGGGGTTGCTGTACACCTTCAATGAGACATGCCCACAATACCTGGCACAGAGCATAGGTCCTCAATAAACGTGAGTTCTCCTCCTCTCTTCTTTGCCCTCTGTTGCCACTAAGAGTCTTCTCTAACCAGACCAGCCCGTTTGCTAACTCCAAACTCTCCAGCATGCCCTCCTGTAATGTCTGCCCTTTCTTGAGGATGCCTCTCACACCGTGAACCTCTTAGAAAACAGGAATTAGTCTTGGTCATTGGTGTCTTCAGGGCCTAACACAGTGCCTGGAACTGTCTCTCTGACACCCAGCAGAGGAATGGGAGTAGGGCTTCCCAAGGAAGGAGGGAAAGAAGCCTGTAGGCGGAGATGGTTGTATTCATTTGGCAATGACACTAGACACTTTTATTGGCTTCTACTGGCCTTGTACTTACACATCAGGTCATTTAGCTTCCACATGTGGAGGCCATGTCCTCAATGAGACTGTGGCTCCCTGAGATCACGGCCATAGATGTTTGACTGTTACCTCCTTTGAACAGTGCCTCACACTGCTAGGTATGTAGAAATTTGTCGATTTGAGAAAGGAAAACACCTGACAAGTCAAAAAACTTAGATTTTTAGATAGTTTATGAATTATTCTTATCAAGTTTATGAATTATTCCTATCACATCAATTCTTTCTTCTGTGATATGGGTAAACTTTGGTCTACTTACGGGTATTTAAAGGAAACCTGAAGTTTCCTTTAGGCTTATAATGTCATATTTGAAATTTAATCTTTTGTTTATTGGTGATCTATGAAGGGTTCGAGAAACTCTTGGATAATTTTTTCTTAGAAAGAATCAAGACCTGGCTTGAACGCCTTGATTTCAATTGCATTTGTTAAAGAAAATAATATGGGAAAGGTCTTGGCCTGGTGAAGCAAATAGCCCCAGGCCACAGGCTACAGGTTCTGCTTTGAGTCGGCTTTTAGTCATCCGCCTCGTTATCCCAGTGGCCATAGCCGTCCCCTTCATCTGGCTCTTCAATATTTTCATTTTCAAAAGAGGCCTCTTCCTCCTCCTCTTCCCGGATCACCTTCATTAACTCGAGGAAGCTGGGGGGTGGTCCCTGGTCTTTCAGCTCCCTAAGCCTGCACCACAGGATCTCGCTGAGGCTCGCCCCCGCCATGACTTGCTCCAAGCGGACCTGATCTGCGATATTCCTGGGAATGGCCCGTTTCTCCACAGCCCTCCGGAGCAGAGTCTCTAACCGCAACACGTAGGCTGAGACTTTCTCTCCCTCCTCCTGATAGGTCTTCAGATATTTCACCTGTGAGGTCCTGCGGCTCTCCAGGCTCCCAAACACTTGCTTAAATGCCTCCAAACACTCTTCCACGCTTATGGATGGATTGTCTGCCTGCACTATATGCATGAGGTCCAGGGCGGGGCCACGCAAGCTTTCCATCAACCACCTTTTCTTTTCTGCCTCTGCCACTGGCCACTCTTTGACTATTTCAGTGGCCTGTTCCAACCAGATTTCAAAGGGCTCTTCCTCAGGGGCAGGAGTAGCGCTCCCTGAGAACACTCTCAGCTTCCGGTACCTCATGGGCAGCAGGGGCTGAGGGGCATGTGCTATTGCCTGTCCCAACAAATGGGCCAATAACTCCGGTGATATGCAGGGCACTGCAGCCGGAGACATTCCCTCATGCCCCAGGGCTCGGAACATACCCGAGACTGTTTGCCCCTCTTTTTCTAGAAAGAGGTTCAGTCGTTCAAGGAATTCAGTGTCCTGGTTAGGGGTCTTAAAGACCACTTTCCAGATACCCCCCCTTCCCTGAACCTCACTGGGAATCACTGAGACATCAATATCCTCCATGAGCTCTAATAAGACAGCATTGGCATTCTCCTGCTTCCTGAATATTTTGCCGAGCAGTCTATACCTTCCCAGAGACTTTAAAGTCTCCTGGAGAACCTCCTGAATCTCAGTCTCATCACACTCCACTGGTATCCCCATAACCATCAATGACTTCTGATCATCCACACTCATTATCCGGCACCAGTCCTCAAATAGCGCCAGTGCCATCGTCACGAGTATTTATTTGCTCTAACTCTACAGGTACCAATTTGTGGCACAGACAGGCGCTGCCTTAGGATTTAAAGTATCCTGGATGAGCTCCTGAAACTATAACCCACGAGTGAATGGGTTCAGGTCAGGTCACTCCGACAACAGTCTCAAAGTCTTCTGGACCAGTAACCCTTAATTTTCCAGTGGCAAGAACTCAGCACTTCCAGTTGTCTCTAGAACTGACCCAAGGTGGGTGATTAGTGTCTCGGTTACGACAGTGCCACTGCCTGTGGCTCTGTAGTCCTGTGGCTGCTGTTTCTCTCCTGGATGCCAGCAGCCACGTGGTGGTGTCGACCCTCTCTGACCAACGGAGGCACCTGTGCGAGCTGCTTTCACACTGTCTGGGTCTGCTGCCTCGGCCTCACCTCTCTCTAGTCAGTGGGGAAACGCCTCCACTCTGGCACCCAGGACTCCTGGAGAGAAGTCTCACAGAAGAGTGGCTTGGACTCCTAGTGAAACAACAGTTAGTTACCACACAGCCCTGTTTCCTAGGAAGCATCCACACACTAGTTAGGGATGGAAGTGGAATAGATGGGGGTTCTGCCTCCCACTATATTTGCGCTACCCGACTCTGTCAGATCTCCTTTGCTTACAGTGACTTTTCTTTTCCCTCTTGGAGACCCTCCTGCAATCTGGCTTCCCCACTGTCTGCTCATCAGACATGCTAATTAATGTCTGAGCCCAGTTCTGGCCAGGACTCAAGATCCTTCCCATGTGAAGAATGAAATCAGGAGATGTGGTTAGATACCTGTTTATGTGTTCCAACGTTCCGTAAGAGTCAAGGAGCTTATTTATTCTGCTTCTAGTGCAGCAAGATGTCACTCAACTCCACACAATGGCGTGTCTGGGTCCTTCTCAGCTCCAGCCAAGCCAAGCTGCCCTGTTATACATTAATAATAATGGTGTATTTTTATGGCTCAGTAATATCCAATGATGAAGACCGTTCATGTGCTTATTAAAAAATATGACAATCCTCCACAATTAAACCACTGAATACAGTTGATTCAGTTCTTTGATTAAAAAATCCAATTAGAAATCACTCGAGTATTTATAACCAGTTAATATCGGTATAACAATATAACTTACATAATATACTTTAATAATATAGGTATAACAATTTAATATAGGCTTAACAATTTTTAAAAATCTCAGGGCCAAATAAGTTAAATTTAGAATTATCAATTCATTCTCTTTTGTTATGTCTAGTCAGGCTTTGCAAATGCACAAGTAGGTGTTTCTTTTGCTATGAATGTTAAGTCACGAACATGACACTATCTTTGCAGCATTTGAACTTGAATGGGTCATTTAAAGGAAAAGGAAAAGAGAGAAAGCACATCTATGGAGAGCTGGTCGAGACCGAGTGATGTAAGAAGGGAAGAGTTCCTAAAGTCTCCCAGTTCTGCTGTGGAGTGGGTGTTAAGGGGCCACCACCATTCTTCCTTAAGCCTGAAAATCTCCATCAAGTCCAGTGGGGTGCATGTGCCACAGATGCCAACATGCAGCCATAGATGCAGTTGCTTCTGCTGCAAGCACATTTCTCCAGTCCTTCTGGAAGGGGCTGAAAGCATGGCACGTGCCTAGGAGCCAGAAGGGCAAAATGCTGGATCATGCCCCGGCCCAGCTGCCCCAGGGATCTGAACCCAGTGACTTCTCCATGCATCACTTTCTCCTTCTAAGATATGGAGGTGACTTCCCTCTCCCATTGTAATATTTAGAGGAAACATGAGATGTAGAAAGACATCAGATGTGCAGGAAGAAACATTTCCAAGGTATTCGTAATAACTGCCATGGCCTCTTCCTCCAAAGGAAGTCCCTACCTGCAAGGCAACTTTCAAATAAAAAGATGGCAAGTGAACAATCATCCTTGATTCACAGTAAATCCATGGATGAAAATATTTCGATATGGGAAAAAATGTGAAAATTTTGCATTTTCTAACATAAAGATAGGATAAGTTGGAAAAGGAACCAGACTTTCATGTGGAAGATCCCACCAGCACCAGCACTGGAATTGTTGGATATTTAATTAGATAGTGACCTTGGGCAGAGCGCCTTAATCTCTCTAGATCTCACTTTCCTATCCTGGGAAGCGGTGATGGTAAAGCGCTCATTTCACAGGCTGCTGTGTGTAGGAAATGATGTATTTCGTGTGGAAGCACTTTACTCAGATTCGAGCACATCTGGTGCTGAGTCTGAATGTCCGCTCCTGGGTCTCTCAGCCCCCACACGTGTATTGCTCTCCTTCCTCCCTATCCCCTTGTCACCCGGAAACTCCTTCCCAGCTATCATGGTGGGCTCATCTTAAAACTGTGCTGATTGTCTTCCACATTTAACTCCATTCCCCAAACTATCCCTCACAATTGGGGGGGAAGGGTGGGCATCCGCATTTAATCCTTCCATGGGCAAGAGCTGACAATGGGACAGAATCCTTGGTCACACTGTCCGGCGCGACAACCCTGCGGGAAACAACCTTTTTTAGCCCAAACCCACCCTGGCTACTGAGCATGCCCAGACTTCCCTCTTCAGCTGCCAAAGGATGGGCATCATCTCTGCAGGATTTTGCCACTGTGGAAAGAGGGCCAGGGCTGCAAAGATTGATACAAGGAAAGGGCGTGCGGGTGGGAGTAAGCAATGAAGCACGCTCAGAGACCGGGTTACTGGCACAAATCAAAATGCTCTCTGGATGCCCACCAACCCGTGGTGGCTGTGGCTGGTCTACTCGCACACACATACTAAACCTTCCCCATTTTTTCCTTGCTTGGTTTCACACAATTCAAAGCACTCAGTCACAGCCAGCACTCCGTCTCCTGGCGCACACTGGACGCGCGCGCGCGCGCACTAACGTCCCTGGCATGAGCTTCTGGCGCAGTGCGCAGCGGGGTGGGGGTGGGGGGATAGTAAGGGCTGAAGATTTGGGGAGTGGGTTGCAATCTGCGCCTTTCTCTTTTGGGGGGGTGGGGGGTAGGAGGCGGAAGATACTAAATCAAGATATTCTCTTGGGCTCGCTCTTCTTGGCGCAGTGGCGCAGTTATGGTACGTGGCGCCCTTGGGCACCATGTCTGCACCCTCTCTCACTATATATTATTAGTTGTCGTGCTGGGCCGGAATTTGCAGACTGCACTCTTCGCTACCCTCCCACGGACCATAGACCTATGTCTCTCTTTATACTACACCCACCATCAGTTGCTATGCCCTTCTGCATTTCTCCCCGCCATGCTGTGCGCCCCTCACCACTGTGGATGCCCTAAGTGAGAACCTTCTCCTTTCAATCTCTGCTCCCAACAGCCTACCAACGCCCGTGGGTAGACTGAAGCTTTGGTGTCCTGCGCGTCGTATGGCCCCCTAGTCCTCCGTGTGGCCTGCGCCATCCCTTCCCCCTCCTCACTGCGGCTCATTCCCTTCTCCTGGGTGTCTTGGCGCCAACCAATTTGTCCCCCTTTCCCCATCCATCAGCTCACGCTCCGGGTAAGGGGGAGGGGGCCCTCCCCACGGCGGGCCCTCTCCCCTGGCCCACCTCCGCAATACGGTGGGGGAAAGGCGTCTGGATCAGGCAGGTAGGCGACAAGGGCGCGGGGGCCAGAGGCTGCGCCCTCGGATCTTCGTCCCAGCATGCCTGCCCCATACTCACCCTGGAGCCGAGAGCGGTCAGCGGACCCTTCTCTCCGCATCCATTAGCCAGTGGTCTGGCCGCTTCACTTCCGGAGCGCCGGGCTCTGGGCGGCGCGGCCCTCCCCTCTCGCCGCGCTCCGCTCCCCCGCCCGGCCCC